CCAGGGCCATCACCCCCACCTGACCCACAATGCGGGCATCACCCCCACCTCACCCACGGTCCAGGGCCATCACCCCCACCTGACCCACAATGCGGCCATCACCCCCACCTCGCCCACGGTACGAGGCTGTCACCCTCACCTCACCACGCCCACAACACGGAGCCGTGACCCCACCATGACGTGAAGCCATGTGTCCACTGTGACACGTGTCCACTGCACATAGTGGCCCTGGACTCCCTGCTTGTCCAGCCTCCCCCAGCCCCCACAGACTCATCTTGGCACTGTCACTGTCCCCACCCGGTCCCCCCGAGCCCTGGCCCCAGCGTGGGGTGCCCTGCGGAGCCCAGGGTGCAGCCTCGCCCTCCCGCCCCCTCACCCTCTCGGCCCTGCTCCTTTTCCAGGACACGGTCTCTGTCCACCGGCCCAGCTTCTACGCGGAGCGCTTCTTCAAGTTCATGAGCAACACGGTCTTTAGAAAGAACTCCTGTAAGTTAGCGCCATGGGGCTTTGGGAGGAGAGGAGCTCACGCTGCCTGTGCCATGTCGCGGTGCCCACGGGTGGGACGTGGGGCCTGGGGCCCTGCCATCTTGGCTTGAGACCCTCCTTGGCCAGCAGGCTGTGTGACAGCCAGCCAGCCAGCACCTCCCCCCCCCCCCGCCTCAGTTTCCTCATTGGCACAGACGTGAGGAAGGACACCCCCACCACTGACCACCCTCCTTCCACAGCCCTAAAGTCTTCTCCGTCCAAGAAGGGGCGTGGAGCCCTGCTGGCTGTCAAACCCCTGGGGCCTACGGCCGCCTTCTCGGCCAGCCAGATCCCCAGCGAGCGGGAGGACGCGCAGTACGACCTGCGGGGGGCTCGCAGCTACCCCACGCTGGAGGATGAAGGTATGGGCCTGCAGAGTCCTGGGCAGCAGGGGACGAAGGTACAGGCCCCATGCGGTCAGCAGAGCCCTGGGGTTGGGGTGTAGGGACAAAGGTACAGGGTCTGCAGAGCCCTGGAGGATGGAGGTGTCAGGGAACAAAAGGACAGGGTCTGCAGAGCCCTGACGGTTGGGGGCATCAGGGGACAAAGGTCCGGGTCCCATGGGATCTGCAGAGACCTGGAGGGTGGGAGGGGCCAGAAGACAAAGGTTCAGGGTCTGCAGAGGCCTGGGGGTGGGGGCATCAGGACAAAGGTGCCGGCCCCATGTAGCATCCTGAGAGAGAGGGCAGCAGGAGCGGGCCCGGGGCAGGTCGACCAGCACAGACGTGCCCGGGGAGATGCCAGCCTCCGTCCCAGGAACACTGACTTGTTCACCTGGTCCGGCTCTGAGTGGGAGATTGGTCGTGTGGAAGGCTGGGGTGGCGCATGGTCACGAGACAGGTGCTGGGTGGGCTGCGGGTGGCAGCGGGCGGCTGTGGAGGGAGATGGAGTGACAGGCTGGGTCCCGTGGTGCTCAGTGTCCCTCTCCGGCAGGCCGGCCTGACCTGCTGCCCTGCACCCCACCCTCCTTCGAAGAAGCCACCACTGCCTCCATCGCCACCACACTGTCCTCCACCTCCCTCTCCATCCCCGAGCGGTCGCCCTCGGAGACGTCTGAGCAGCCGCGCTATAGGTGAGCGTGTCGGGGTGCCTCTGGGGGCACGAGTGGCCGGGGCCGGGCTGGTGGAGCTGGACGTGCACGCTGACCTCGATCCTCCTCGTCTCCACAGGCGACGCACGCAGTCCTCGGGACAGGACAGCCGGTAAGGCTCCCGCCACCTCTCCCATCCACCAGCTCCCCGGAGGGTGGTCCCTGGGCCCTCGGCTCAGGCTGGGCTGCCATTTGGGGGACCAGGCCCGACCTGAGGGGCCCAACGTGCTCATCAGTGGGGTATCCAGAGCTGGTGTATCTAGAGTGCCTCCTGTGGACCCCCAGGCTCTGAGTCCTCCCGTGGCCAGGCCCCCAGGGGTGGTCAGACAGGACCCTGAGGCACCGTGCTTGCTGCCCTCAGGCCTCCGGAGGAGGTGCACGTGGAGGAGGACCTGCAGCAGATCACGGTGCAGGTGGAGCCCACGTGCAGCGTGGAGATCGTGGTCCCCACAGAGGCGGCCACAGGGTGAGTGACTAGCAGCCCTCTCTGCCCTGTCGTCCAGAGTGCCACGGTCCAGCTGTCACCCCGCTGCCCAGGCCGCTTACCCACGTCAGCCTGGTCCCGGTGCAGGGAGACGTCATCTTTGTAGCAGCAGGGCCCAGGCCTCTGCCTCCTTCTTGCTCCCTTCTGAAGCGGTCCCCATCAGGGTCCAGGGTGGCCCCCACCACCACGTCGGTGTCTCTCCAGGTGGAAAGGGACAAGGAAAGGCCTCTTGTCAAAGGCACTTGACCGTGGACTTTTATCTGACTGCCACTGGCCAGGCTCAATGACCTGGCCACACAGCTGTAAAGCAGCCCAGGAAATGCCCGCTCTGGGCAGCCGTGGACCAACCTTAGGGTTCCTTGGATGAGAGAGAAGGGGTGATGCCGGTTGTCCAGGCTGTGGAGGCTCCTGTGCACTTCCGGGTCTCCCCTGCCCTGCGAGTGCTGCTCCTGTCCCCCTGCACCTGGCCTCGTTCTGCGTTTCCCTCCTGTCTGCCGCCCTCTTGTTGCCGTGGGCTCACACCGAGGGTCCCTCGCGTTCCGTTCCCCCAGGACAGGCTGCGTCTCACGTTGCCTCCCTCCCTTCTCGAACCACGAGGCGCGCGAGATGATGCGTTTTCCTGGGGTTTCACGGAGTGCTGGTTTGTTGCCTGTCTCCGTCTGATGGAAGCATTCATTTTATCCCAGATAGTGGATGTTCACTGGTTCTTCTTTGTTTTAAAGAAATGGTTCTCAACCAACTAAGGGCTTTTGGGGCCATGAGGGCACATTGAGACATGTTGGGAGACGATTGTGGGTGCCACTCCTGGCCTCGAGTGGATGGCCGGGGGCACTGTGATGGCCCTAGGGTGCCCAGCACGGCCACGCTCGAGGGGGCTTTGGCCCCGCGTGAGAAGTTCCGTCTCGGCGTCCGGGAACGGCGGGGCCATGCCTCTCCTTCCTGGCACCCGTGTCTTATCCGGCTGAGCTGTGGTTTGGAGGGGATCGTCCATAAAGTCCGGGTTGGAACGCCCTGTGGTGGGTCTTGGGTGCGGGAGGACCAGCAGGTGAGCTCTGAGGAAGGGGTGCGGTTGAGAACCTGCCCTGGACCCCATCGTCTGCTTTGTTCTCAGGGTGGAGCCGCCCTCAGCCTGCGCCTCAGCTGCCGCTGTGGAGGTGGAGACCACCAGCCAGGCCTCGGAGCCGGCCAGCCAGGCCTCAGACGAGGAGGACGCGCCAGCCACCGACATCTACTTTGTAAGTCTCCGACAGCGCCAGCCTGACACGGTGGACCGGGCGCACCCCCGTGTACACGCGTGCACGCTCCGACACGTGTGCGCACAGTCACACGCACATGGACATGTGCCCACAAGCGTGCACGTGATGGTCCTCATACAGACGGACGTGGAGACGCTCACACCGACACATGGCACACATGTGAGTGCAGCTACACGGATGTGCTCCCTGCGTCCACACACGTGTGCCTCCACAGGCGTGTGCACACTCACACACGTGAACACGCACGCTGAAGTCCTGGCCTTCCTGCAGCCCCCGATGCACACATGCAGCCACATGGTCTGCACGTGCTCACGTGACCACGTGCACCTGCGTTCACATGATCAGGTGCTCAGACACACCTGGCCTCGATGTTCTTGTGACACACACACACGTACATATACACGCACGCCTGTGTGCTCACATGTCTGGTTCTGAGATTCACACACGTGCACTCAGGCTCACACAGGCAGGTCCTGCTCGTCCTTGCCTTTCCCAGCTCTGTCCCTCTCGTCCCCACCGCGTCTCGTCATCTCCTTTTCCTCTCTCCCCATTTCTCCCCCGCTGTCTCCCTGTCTCTTCCCCACTGTCCCTCCCCGCCTTTCTCCACATCACTGTGTGAGAGGCCCCAGGCCCAGAGCTCCACCGCACAGCAGGGTCCTGGGTCCTGGGACCAGCCGGTGGACGTGAAGAGACTCTTCCACCTTGTGGTGGTGGGTTCATATCAGGCAGGTGGGCCGAGAAACTTCCAGAAAGGCAGGTGTGCTCCCCTGCGGGCCCGAGGTGGTATGTGACCTCTGCCTGCTCTGTGGGCCAGGGATGCAGTTCAGCGGGAGTGGAGGGGCCCACCCTCCGCCTCCCCATCAGTGGACACGCAGGCGCTCGGCCGGGCCTGGGGCTGTGGTGGCTCCTGGAGGCCAGGGTAGCCTGTCCTGTCCTTCTAGTGACACCCCAGCAGTGGACCTCAGGGCTAGCACCCCTCCCTGGAAGGCCAGCGTCACCTCTGCCCCAGCCCCCCTCCTCTCCAGCCGGGGGGTTTTGGGGCGAGCATGCTCCCCTCCCCCTCGCTCTGCACTAACATGCCTCCTCCTGGTCGCTGGAGGCGCCAAGCTCGGCCCCGTCCCCCGCCATGTCCCCAGTGGTGCCTGGTCACCTGCACCCTGCTTCCTGTTCACTTCTCCCCTGGCTTGGCATGTGCAGTCCGTCTGCCGCCCGGGCGTGCGTCTGCGGCCCCCGGGGGCGCACCGTGGAGGCCCCTGCCCGCTGGCCCCGCTCACCCTGTGTCCTCTGTTCTTCCTCCCGCTGGCCCCGCCGCGTCCAGTTCACAGACGGGCGGTACTGGATGTACTCCCCGCGCCATCGCCGCCTGCGGGCCGTGACGCCGAGCTCCTCGGGGACTGTAAGTGACCGCAGCCGGGCTGGGCAGGCGAGCGCCAGGCCGTCCTCAGAGCGCTGCCCGGAGGTCCCCTGTCTTTGAGGGGATCTGGGGGACTCGACAGGCACTAGCGTAGACGTGTGGGTGTGGACACGTGTGTGTCACGCAGCAGCGTTCCCTGGCCTGGCCCATTCCGTGACACCCAGGGGAGGCTCAGAGGCCAGGGCCTGGTGTGGGGTCTGCCTCTGACCCCAGCCTGCCTTCTGACCCCAGCCCAGACCTGCCCCTGCCCCTCCAGTGCCCTGGTCCAGAGGTGGGCAAGTGGCCACATGTAGGCCTGAGCCAGGTGGGCGCGTCTGCACCCCTAGACCTTGCTGACCGTCACTGGCAGGGCCCCACAAGAGGACAGTCACCCAGGCAGCTCAGGGAAGTGCAGGCTGACTGTGAATGGGGGTCTGGGAGCCACTGGGGTCCTGGTCCCCATTTCTCTGCTAGGGCAGCTGCGGGGCCACAGGACCGTGTAGGAGGGCGCCGTCAAGAACCCGGGCTCCTGGTGGACCCTGTCTCGTGACACCCACCCGCCCAGTGGCCTCAGGGTCAGGGAACATGGTGCTTGCCATGGCTGTGTGAGGTCAAGGGACCTGCCCAGCAACTCAGAGCCAGGTGGACATCAGAAGTGTGGCATGTGGGCGTTGAGGGTAAAGGGCCGTCGTGGCATCAGGTGTGGTAGCATCAGGGTTGTGGGTCAGTGTGGCGTCAGGGGCGTGGGGGCATCCAGGTCGTGGGGTCTCCATGGACGTGGAGAGCTTGAGGTCAGCAGGGCATGGGGCCAGTGGCGGTGTGGGGTCAGCATGGACGTCAGGTCAGCTGAGGTCACTGACATTACATGGGCATTGGCAGAGCCTGTGGTTTGAGAGGCCCTCTGGTGGCCTAGTAGGTAGAGGGAAGCACTGCATCTCCGAGGCAGGCAGTTCGAGTCCGCTGAGTGCTCCACTGGGAAGATGGGTTCTCTCCTGTGTGATTTTTAGCTCTCAGAAGACTCGCTGGCGGGTGGCTCTGGGCTGCTGCTGGCTGGTCCAGAGAGGAGTTGTGTGTGAGGCATCAGCTGGGTGGAGTCTGTCCAAGATGAGGCCCTGGAAAGCCGGGGGGACCGTCCCTGTCACGCTTGGAGTGACTGAGTGCAGCTGTGGGTGGAATGGGGGGCAGCCACGCTGATCCCCCAGCAGCTCCCGGCCAGGCAGGGCCCTTCTGGAGATGAAGCCGAAAGGCACAAGGCGTTCTGTGGCCATGGACGGGGGACGAGGGGACGCAGAGGCTGGACCGCGGTGCCAGAAGTGGGGGCAGACAGGTGGGGGTGCCCCGGTGGCCGTGGGTGCGCCGCTGACTGCTGACAGCCAGGCAGTCCCCTGCCCTGGAGCCTGGACCTGGCGTGGTCCTGGAAGGACTGTGGTTCTCCTCCAAGCGTGGCGGGCTGCTTGTCACCCGACACCCCAGGGCGCTGGAGCAGTTCCTGAGCCCAGGGGTGCAGCGGTAAAGGGCTTAGCTGGCGGCTTCACCAGAGGACAGCCCGGAGGTGTGTCCATCAGGGGTCGGCCTGGGAACCCTCTGGGACAGCCCAGTGTGTGACGCACACCACCCCCCATGTGAGAGTGACCACTCCACACTGGCATGTCATCGCGTGCCCCCATCTGGGGCTCATCGTGCATCACAGTGCCTCTGGCTGTGTTTGTGGTCAGGCACTGAGGACTCGAGGGGGCTGAGCTGCCCCCTCGGGAGAGGGACTGTGGCATGTTCACACTGCCCGCAGATCCCACCGCTCAGCTCACGGAAGTGTCTCAGCAGGCCCCAAGGGGGCAGGTCCGGGCCATGGATGGACAGATCACACGAGCAGGGAGAGGGTGAGGGCGGGCACGGGTGTGCGCGCTCCTGGACCCGGCAACGTGGGGCAGGGAGTCCAGCGGGCGTGGATGTGGGTCTGAGGTCGTCGGCAGGGGTCCGAGCCTCCAGGATGACCAGGTCAGGTGGTGGCAGGGAGGCGGTGGACTTGCTGGCAGATGAAGGAGGGGGGCCCATAGCCACCGTCCCCAGATCAGAGCAGACTCAGGAACCCCCGGCCAGGAGGGGCCTGATCTCCCGAGACGGGCTTGGCACCAGAGCGGGGGGCCCGGCCATAGAGGTTCCCCAAGACCTGCTGTCTCCTCAGCACGGGCCCTGGGCCTCACTGGGGTGCTGGCAGTCACCGGGGCCCCGGAGGCAGGGGTGAGGAGGGCACTCTGCAAGCCTGCACCCGCCACGCTGCCTGCTGTGCTTCCTGTGTCTGGACTAACCGCCTCCCTGCTGTCCTGCTGCCCGTCCCCCGCGCTGTCCCCGAGCCGAGACCTGTCCCAGGCGGGGGGCCGCCGCACCACTGGGGAGCACCACACCGGGGGAGCCGCCTCTTTCACGTTGGTTCTCTGTTCTGTCCTCTCTCACTCGCGCCTCCTCCACCCTGCCTTCCGCCTGCTCTTCTTGCACGTGCCGCCCGCCCGCCCGGCCGCCCGCAGCCCACCGACGAGAGGTGCTGGGTGTACTCCCCACTGCACTATAGCACGCCGGCCCAGCCGGCCTCGGACGGCGAGAGCGACACAGTAAGTCGGTGTGGCGGCCGCCCGGGCGGGCCAGCCCGGCCCAGCCCAGGCCCGAGAGGCCTTCCCCAGCATGGCCCTAGGGGTCCCAGGTGGCAGGCAGGGTGGGTGGAGGGCGCCGGGCAGCACCGCAGCCGTTCAGTGTCTGCGTTCACCGGAGGTCGGAGGTCAGACGTCTGCTGGTCTGCTCTTGGAAGCAGCCTGAAGGTCCATAGAGCACAGCTTACCCACCGGGGGCAGGGCTGATGCCCAGGTGGCCCCAGGGGGCTCCAGACACAAGGCCACGGCCACAAAGCTGTGGCGGTGGGAGACTCGGGCCTCCTGCCTGCCTTCACCTGCTCCCTCTTGCCTTTCCAGTAACTTCTATGCAGATGCCCACCCAGAACCCAGCGACCGCCGCTGCCTGGAGCCGCCGCCCGCCCACCTCGGGCTAGAGCGCTGGGGCCGCTGCCGCTGCCCACAAGACCCCGCACGACCACCCCAGCGTCCTGTCGCCCTCCCCACCCCTGTGGCTGGCTCCCTGCACCTGGGACCCCCGAAATTCTGGACTTCTCCTGGGTGTCCACTCTGTACAGAGACTCCAGCACCCGGGTGCTTTTCCTGGAGACAAATCACAGAAGGAGGAAATGGCCAGTCCGTGGCCCCTGTGGTGTCCAGGTCCTGGTCACGGCCGGAGTCCACGCCTGAGACCCAGACGCTCGGTGGCCAGGGCCTTGCTCCCCGCCGTGGGGTGCCTGAAGGTCCTCACCCAGGGTCTCAGCCCCCGTCCACGTGTCGTCCTCCCCGGAAACCCAGCTCTTCGTTCGGACAGGCAGACCCCAACCCGGCGCAGTCGTGGGGTCCTCCCATTCTTAGTGGCAGCACAGAGGGTCCCCTGCTGCCTCCTAGGTGACCCTGTGAGCATGACTGTCCACCCCTCATGGGCTCCGAGGCCCGGGTGCCGGGACACCACGGACGGCAGCAGTGACTGACCGGCTACCACGTCCAGGACTCCAGGGTGGAGGCGTTCCGCAGAAGGGATCCCCCAGCCCCCTGCGTATCCCTGGACAGACCTGGAGACCAGGGTGCCCCTGTCAGACCTGGGCTTCTGTTTAGAGCTGCCGCTGGCACCACCACCTGGCAGAGGCGGGAAAGGTCCAGAAGGAAGGTCATGGTCCCTGTCGTCAGGGCCAGGTCAAACCCACCTGGTCTCCCCACATTTCAGAAGGGGGGTACACTGATGATTCCTTCCCTACTCATGGTGTGGACCCCCACCCACACAGTCACCTCTGCCTGGAAGCCCTGTGTGGGTGGACCTTCCAGAATGTTCTGGCCAGCAGAGCCTGGCAGAAGAGCTGAGATGGCTGGACGCCCCCCACCCCAGGAGTGACGCTCAGTTCTCGGAGTGCTGGGAAGAATGCTGCTGCTTCCTGCTGTCCGTGTCCCAGCCCCTTGGGGCTCCCAGAGGACCCTGCCGGGCACAGCCTGTACCTCCCGGTGCTGCCGGGCCCTGCCGCACCCGTGGGCTTCTCCCCTCGTGGTGGTGCAAGGCCTGTGCTCTGCTCTGAGCAAGACGACAGGCACGCAGGGTCAGCTCCCGGCCGGGAGCCTGGCACTGAGGACCTGGTGGGTCCCACTGGGGATGACCTAGGAGCCGTGGGCAGTCTCCACAGCGTCCTCGACCTCTGGCACTCTTGATCACACTCACGTCCAGCAAACGAGGAGGCAGCAGACGGCGAGGCTCCGTTGCCCACCCCTCAGAGCAGACGCCTCCTGGGCCCAGGGACTGTGCGGCAAGCGCCCCGGTGGGTCAGCGCAGCACGCTCTGGGCATCCTGACATTCCTGTCCTGTCCTCAGCCGGTCCGCCGGAGCCCCGTCTGTGTTCCTCGCATTTGCATTCTTTTGCAGAGAACTGTTTGGTGGCACGCTACAGTGTCCTTGTTATTCCGGGGCTGGGGAACAGGGAGAGAAATCTATTTATAAAGGCTATTGAAATTGCCTTAGGCCAAGCCCAGGCACAGAGGCTTCTGGGTCCACCCATGCTCCCCAGCCCAGTTCAGAACCTTCGCGGTTGACACTCCCCTTCCTGGATTGTCTTGTCTGATGGCCACAGATGTGGACAGTGTCTGAAGACTGTACTGTAAAAAACAAAATGGCATTTTCTCCAAGACTGGAGGTGCAGAAGCTGCCCACGACCCCTGCCGCCTCTGTCCTCACCTGCCCCCTCCCCGACCACATGGCTCAGTGCAATACTCCCGCCCCCTGGGGGGTCTTTCGCCATGGTACTGTCTACACAGCCCCTCGGTCCACACCCCAGGACAGGCACCCCTCCTCTTCCTCTGGGGTTGAGTTTATTACCTGACACACTCGTCCCCTTTTAGTGGCCGAACTTAAAACAAGATGAAACTGCAGAACCTTGTGTGTCTTTACTCTCGTGGGGTGGGGGGTGGGGGGTTCCTGTGTCCTCAGCCCCTCGGGGTCTGGTGTGTGACAATCTGCAGCACAGTGTCCTTGGACTCAGAGGGGGTGCCGCCTCATTCCAACCCAGAGCCGGGGCGCCTGTGACCCTGCGCCCCAATAACACTCGGATGCAATCCCGGCCCCCAGCCAGCCCCTTCCAACCTGCCACCCCCCACCCCTCTTTTTACGTCAAAAAGATCTCTGGAATAAATTGAGTAATCAAGCGTCAGCCACGCCTCTCTGCTCTCTGGGTTCCCGGGGCAGGCGGTGGGATGGAGGACAGAAGATGACCCACATACACAGAGAAGGGGGCTTTTAAATGATAGCTGAACTGACGCGCGTGTGCTGATAGCCCCAGACACAGCCATATCTAAGGTGTGCTGTTGGGGGCAAGCACTTCGGGCATAAGACTCAGCACCATGGCCTCCCGTACGCCTCTGCTCCGGAGGGCAGCACGCACTTCTGCTCTGGGAGGGCCACTCCAGGGCCTCCCACACACCTCTGCTCCAGAGGGCAGCACGGAGGCCTGCCTGCTGCGCACACGCCTCTGCTCCAGAGGCCTGGGGATTGCCTTGCTGAGTTGATAAACAGGAGAAAGAATTTTAAAAGGACAGCACATCACAGCCCAATTTTCACCACTGAGAGCAAAGTAGGAGCCTTGGCTTGTAGGTTTTCTTGTTGGGTTCCTTCCCCCCTTTTTCTTTTACCTTGTATACCATCAGATCAGATCTGATTGGCACAGGAGGAGATTGCCCCTCCTTCTCCAGTGAAGCATCTGGTGGATTTGAACCACAGACCTTCAGGATTGCAGTGCAGCTTCTTGCAACTAGGACACCAGAGCTCCCTGACTTGTAGGAGTTTTGGGGTTGGTGGGGTATTTTGTTTGCTTTTTGTATTTTTTATGTGGTACTGGGAAGTCAGATCTGACTGGTACAGGAGGAGATTGTCCCTTCTCCAGCAGAGAATTGAACCACAGACCTTCAGGATTGCAGTGCAGCTTCCTGCCACTAGGCCATCAGAGCTCCCTGGCTCGTAGTTTTGAGTGGATGCTAAGTATAGTTCTCTGAAAGATGTTAAAGAAAAAAAAGAAGAATTGAACCAAAACACCTAAAGAGCTGGGTCCGTCCTCAGGTTACAAGTCACCTCAGAATTTTATTTTATTAATTATGTGTGTGGGAATTTTTTAGAAAATTTTTAAGCGTCTCTGGTATTAGCGTGCTGGGGTGTCAGATGCCATCAAGTCCGTTCCTGGCAGCAGAAGGGAACCTTGCCTGGTTGTGTCACCTGCGTAATCAGAGCTGCCCTGGAGTCCATTGTTGGAGCCACCCCGTCGGCCGTGTGGAGGGTCTACTTTCCCCGCGACCTTCAGTCACCGGCGACGTCTTGGGCTCAGGGCTTGGTGACACTTTGTCCAGAGCATGTGAATTGACGTCTTGCCAGTCTCTCTTTTAAGGAGCATCCAGCTCCCCTCCTGCCGAGGCAGCGCTGTTTGTCCTGGCACTTTGTTACTTTGCACCTGTGAGTGAGATCGACCCACAGAGGACCCCGCGGCACGTTTTCAGAGACAACAGGTTGCACAGGAAGATTGTGGGTCTTCCCCCCTTGGAGCGGTGGGTTTGAACATGCTTTCCTTTGAGTTGGCAGCACTACTCCTCACCACTAGGCCACCAGAGCTCCCTCTGGCCTCGCTTGTTCTGGCATCGCTGAGGCCAAAGGATGAGGCTTGCCCTGACGTTTGTAAATGTGTCTGCCAGAGTCATTGTACTTGGATGATGAATGCGCTTAGGGAGTGGTGAAAACATCTACAAGTCAAAAGGTTAGAGGTTCAGATTCCCCCCCGCCAGTGGAACCTCAGAAGAAAGATCTGGGCAAGCTCTGGTGGCGTAGTGGCAGGAAACTGCACTGCAATTCCAGAGGTGCACGGTTCAAATCCACCAGATGCTCTGCTGAAGAAGGAGGAACAATCGCCTCCTGTATCAGTCAGATCCAATTTGACGGTACACACATAAAAAGAGTAAATAAGTAAAAAAAGAAAAAGAAAGACCTGGTTATGTGCTTCAAAAATATCAGAGCTCTAGTGGCAAGAAGCTGCACTGCAGTGTTAAAGGTGCACAGTTCAAATCCACCAGATGCTCTGCTGGAGGAGGAGGGGCAATCTCCTGTGCCAGTCGAATCTGATGTGAACACACACACACACACACACACACACACACACACACACACACACACTCACACAGACACTTTTTTTTTTCTTTAAATCAGAGCCTTTGAAAACCCTGTGGAGCACAGTTCCACTCTGCATTTATGAGATCACCTGGGTCAAAGATGAGTCAATGCAGCTGAGGTATGTCTTAGTGTTTGAAAGGAATTAAGGTGATGTCCAAGTCAAACAAGGTTCCCCCAGTCTGATGTTAAATGGAGCAGGGTGAAGTGTGATGGAGGATGAAGGTCTCAGTCCTTCTCTAAGTTACCTGCCTCCCCACCGCCACCTCTTCAAGCACTGCCTCTGGGCCCCTCTAGTCTTGAGGCTCCGTTTTCATAGACACACCCAGTCCCGCCCATCGACTTGCACACACAGGATCCTGCTCCTCCACCAGCCCCCCCCACCTTCCACACTTGTTTCACCTTTGCTCCCTCCCTCCATTTAAGTTCCCGTTGTTAGTAGAATGCCATCAAGTATGACTCATAGTGACCCTATGAACAACAGACCCGAATCCTGCCCTGTCTTGAGCCATCCAAACAATCTGTAACACACTTGGCCCATTGCTGCAGTCATTGTGTCAATCCATCTTGTCGAGGGTCTTCCTCTGCTTCCCTATCCCTCGGCCTTTCCAAACATCATGTCCTTCTCCAAAGAACAGCCTCTCGTAGCAACATGCCTAAAACATAGGAGATGAAGCTTTGTAATCTTTGATTCCAAGGAGCACTCTGGCTGCACCTTCTCCAAGACATACTATGTTCATTGACAATCTGTTCAGTACTCTTCCCCCAACATCACAGCTTAAAGGCATCAATTTCACAGCTTGAAGGCATAAACTCTTCTGTCATCCTTATGTGTCAAGCTCTCAGAGGCCTAGCAAGTGATTAGAAAGACCATGGCCTGACAGAAAACACCACAATAGTAGTTGGAAGTGTCAATACACCACTCTCAAGAAAAGATAGAACTACCAGAAAGAAACTCAACAAAGATGCTGAAGAATTAAACCACACAATAAATCAACTTGATCTCTTGGATATTTATAGGCTAATGCACCCCAGAAAAGCACAGTATAAAGGGAGCTCTGGTGGCCTAGTGGCAAAACGCTGCACTGCAATCCCAGAGGTAGGTGGTTCAAATCCTCCAGATGCTCTGCTGGAGAAGGAGGGGGCAATCTCCTCCTGTACCAGTCAGATCTGATTTGACAGTACACATCAAAATAATATAATAATAATAAAAAAAGCACAGTATACCTTCTTCAATATGCATGGTACATTCTTGAGGATGGATCACATTTTAGGTCAAAAGGCAAGGATCAATAAATTCAAAAGCATAGAAATAATAGAAAGCATCTTCTCAGACTACAATGCTACAAAATTAGACATTAATAAGAAGAGAATAAAGAAGAAGAAAAATGATTAAAAAAAAAAAAGACCATGGCCTGTATGAGGTACCCCTTAGTCCTCCATCATTGCCCGTCAATAGTTGGAGAGGTCCCTGAGTGCAGACTTCTCCAGTGCAATACGTCTCCTGACTGCTGGTACCAAGTGTATTGATTGTGGATCCAATTAAGATGAAGTCGTTTACTGTTTCACTCTTTTCACCTCTCAATCTATTTAATCTCTTGCAGGGAGTCCATCCTTTGGGCCCCGCCTTCACTCCACCTTGTCTTGGCCCCGCCTCTCCTCGGCTCCACTTGTTCTCTGGCCCCGCCTTCTCCGGGTGTGGCCTTCTATGCCCCGCCCACATCAGCCCCACCTCCCTCTTAGTCCCGCCTCCCTTCTAACCATTCCTCCTACCATGGTCCTTTTCCTCAGAGTCCACTTCCTGGGCCCCGCCCACACCCACAGGTTCTAGCCGGCCTTTGTTCCGCCCACAGCTCCTCAGGCCCCCGCGGCACAAGGACCCGCCTGGGGCTGCCTTCGGCACTGCCTGAAACGTACCTCTCCCAACGAGGAGGCCAGGGTCTGGTCAGCATCCATCGCACAGACTGCGATTGAAGATGAAGACGACAGTATATAGTGCCGACCTCCCTACGGGCAGGAGCGGCGGGATAGGGTCTGCTCCCTCGGCTGAGGCGCGGACCAGGCGTCCCTGCGCGCGACGCGGGCCACGAAGGCCCCCGGTTCCGGCCTCCGGTGTTTGCGTCCCTGCCTCCGCCAGCCTCCCCCGCCGATGGGTCGGGACACAAGATCGCGCTCGCGATCTAGGGGTCGTGGGACGCGAAAACGGCGGAGCCGGAGCGAGAGTAGGAGCCGCAGCAGAAGCCGGAGCGGGAGCCATGGGCGGCGAAACCGGCGGCGCCGGGACGACGAGGGGCAGCGGCGGCGGAGGCGGCGGAGCCGGAGCCGGGAGCGCAGGTGAGGACGAGCGATCTTGGTCTCGGGATGAGATCCTGGCGAGCTCGGAGACACCTGGTTGATCAGGGAGGGCTCCTTAAGGAAGACGACGTCTGAGTCACGAAAGGAAGGTGGGAAGAGCTCCGCCAGGCCACTGACAGGTGCGACGGCCCCGGTGGCGGCGGAACCAGGGAAGGGAAGGAGCGTCGGGGGTGCCAGCGGAGCCCGCGTGGCACGGGTGGACTGTGGCTGAAAGCGTGGTCGTTGTTAAGAGGGAAGAGCCTTGGAGGATTTTGCAGGGAAGAATGACCCGGTCCGATGCGGTCCGGCGCCGAAAGGGTTAGGTGAAAGAGGCATCCGAGGGCAGCCTGGTGATGGTGGCCTTGGCGCACGGGGAGCAGAGGAAGCATGCAGATCTGAGAGGGATGTTACAGGAGAGATTGGCTGCAGCCCCAGCCGACCCAGGCGAGGTGTCAGAGGCATTGCTGACAGCTGTTTCCTGAAGACTGGTGCTAAGTCACCCCGTGACCCCGGACCCCCAGACCTGCTGGTCTTCCCCCAGAGCATCGGGCTTGGTCAGCCTCTGGGTTTCTGTACTGGTGTGCCTTCTCTAGGAAACACTTTCCCCCCAGATCTCCCTGGACTCCCACCCACTTCCCCTAGATCCGCCACCTTGTTCCCTGAATCGCCACTGGGGCTTGTGGCTACAGCCTTATTCTCAGTGATCACACCTTGACACCACATTTCACTTCATCTGTTGATGTCCTCTCCCTCGGCCCCCCCGCCACCACTGAGTCCAGCGTCGAAGGAGCTTGTTAACCTTGGCTGAACACCCACTCGCTCAGAGGCACCAAGCTGGTCCGTGTGGTTCTTCTCCCTGCAGGTCAGATTCCGAGGGAAAACGATGGCAGCGACGGGGGAGGCAGAGCCGGAGCCCAGGGCCCCGTCGGCGCTCTCGGGACCCCTCCTCGCAGTCTGACTCAGGTGATGAGCGGCAGCAGCGGGGCAGGTGGTCTCGGCACTGGCGGAAGCACTCCTGGTCCCCTGGCTCCTCAGCGTCCAGCTCTGGGTCCCCTGACCGCTCCCCGAGCCCCCGGCAGGCAGCCGCAGCCCTGAGCCACCAGCAGAGCCTGCAGGAGCGGCTGCGGCAGCGGGAGGAGCGGAAGCAGCAGAAGGAGCTGATAAAGGCCTTCGAGACTCCCGAGGAGAAGCGGGCCCGGCGGCTGGCCAAGAAGGAGGCCAAGGAGAGGAAGAAGCGGGAGAAGATGGGCTGGGGCGAGGAGTACATGGGCTACACCAACACTGACAACCCCTTCGGCGACAACAACCTGCTGGGCACCTTCATCTGGAACAAGGTGAGGCTGGCTACGCCCAGAATCCAGCCCAAGCACAGCCACCTCGCCTGCCCCAGGGCCTTTGCACTTCCTGTTCCCTCTGCCCAGGACATTGTCTGTCTCGTTCCATGACCAGCTTGCTCCCTGTTGTCAGTCTGTCTCTGCTGTCAGAGCCCCTCTGCCTGCTCAGGGCATGTGAACAAACTCGTGTAGTACTCCTGCATTTCTGCTCCAAGCACTGTTAGCAAGCAGCCAGCTGTCCTGGCCCTGCGTGTTCCACCTTCTCGTGGAGAGCTAGGCTGTCCTGAGGCAAAGGAAGCCGTGGAGGGAACGGGCAGGTGGCAGCAAGGTGCCAGGTGCAGTTTAGAACAGGCAGGCCTCGGACAGCGTCCCTGAGCACAAGGCTTAGGCGGCAGCTGTGTCAGTGGCATCATTTCTACCCATCAGCCTCTGGGCTCCGTGGGGCCAGCACTGTCTCAGGTCGGGGCGTTCGGTAGTTGTGTGTCAGATGTGGCTGTGTGTGGCTGCCGCACTGGTTCCTTCTGGTGGCTGGAGGCCACCATGTGGTGAGGACTTTGGTCAGTGCTCAGTGTGACGGGCCCTATGGGGTCAGCTGGCCCTGGCTTGCCATGTCCGGTTCTTTGGTGACAAAATCCCACAAGTGATGATTCTGCAGAACAAGACTTTACTGTCTCAGTTTCCAGGCCCCGAGTCAACTTTACAGGAAGGTTCCTCCTTGTCATTCCCCTTGTGCTGCCTCATTAACATAATGAAAATGGCACCTGCTAGTTGAGGTCCACTCACGGTGATTCGGGAAAAACACTGTGTCGGGAGAAGTCGAGAGTCAGGGAAAGTGAGGCTGACCCGCCTCAAGGCCTGGCCCCCAAGCAGAAGCCTGACCCTGCGCTGCAGTGCTGGCCTTGAGCCCGTCAGATTGTGTTGGCAACAGGACACGGCAAGGTGTGCCTCTGTGTGCAGGGTTGACTCGCTGGCACCCAGCAACAGTGTGGTGACCCCACATGTGTCAGAGTGGGGTGTGCCCCCCACACAGGGTGGGAATCAGGACAGTGGGTGCTGTGGACAGGTGTCCTGTCCGACCTCACTGTCCTCACCCACAAAGCCACTGCTCTGACCTGGTCACCCTCACATGTCAGTGAGTCCAGGTCTCCCCGGCAGAGGGGCCTAGGATGAGGCTACCAAGTCTCTGCTCAGCCCGCTGTCCATGGCCTGGGCCTGACCTGGTGGGGTGTCCTTTCAGGCCCTGGAGAAGAAGGGGATCGGCCACCTTGAGGAGAAAGAGCTGAAGGAGCGGAACAAGCGGATCCAGGAGGACAACCGCCTGGAGCTCCAG